TTTCTGGGAACAATATACAACTTCATGTTACTTCAAAGGGAAATGCAAGAAAAAAATGTTTTTAATTTCCAAAGCTGTTTTCAGGAGCTGGACCATTGCTACCTCTTGCTACCTTGTGCCAATGGGGGATTGGGACTTTGACAAAAAGCAATAAACCATAATGAATAGAACACTGAACTTTGAGTCAGAGAGAACAATAATCATTTCCTAGCTGTATGATCACCATAAACTACTTTTTCTCCCTGGACTTAATTTTCCTCATCTGTAAAATAGGCACAACTATATCTATAGTACTTATATCTCATAAGGTTATTGTGAGGCTCAAACAATACACTATATATAAAGTATTTTATAAAATTTAAAGCACTATATACATGCCAGCTATTACTATTATTATTATTCTTTCAGGTAGAAAGTGCACATTCCTGTCACCAAAACTCGATAATAAATGTTGTGTTCCCCTGACTCTTTGACTGAAGTGGAAGTTGCTGGTCCTAGCAGTGCGCCCTGCTAGTACTCTCTCCTCTGAAATTACCTTCCATTCTCTCTCTCTCTCTCTCTCTCTCTCTCTCTCTCTCTCTCTCTCTCTCTCATAAGATGATTGTGCTGGCAAAAAATGTTCATGAAGAAAAACGAACGACCCTTGTCTTGGCTACCTATGATTAAGAGGGGTCCAATCCCTGCCTCCCCCCAAAACTTTCTATATTATCTCTGATAAGTGATCAATCAGGTTCCATTTGAAGAGTTCTGGTAATGGGGAAACTCACAATAGGAGTGGAGAACCATAGAAACTTAATAAGTAATTCATGCCAAACTAATAAAGTATACAAATAGTGTTGGGTGCTAGAAAGTGCACTGGTCTTAGAGTCAGAAGATCTGTATTTAATTCCTGGCCTAAACATTTACTAGCTGTGTGACCTTGGGCAAGACATTTAACTACCCTGAGCTTCAGTTTCTCATCTGTAAAATGAGGATAGTAATCTTTGCACTACCTATATCATGGAATTCTTGTGGGAAAAGCAGTTTATAATCTTTAAGGTGCTTTAGAAATACAAATTCTTGCTGTTTCTCTAGGGTCCAATAAATGTTTTTGATGAAAAAAAAACCTTCATGCAAATGGCATAAAGATGATCAAGTCAAAGCTCTGTTTAAAAAGAACACCTTCTATGATGTTAAATGCTTCCGATGTTAGATGAAAAAACAGGCTCAGCAAAGCAACTGTTGCTCCTGAATTCTAGACTACTATGGAAACAATTACTGATTCAGCTCAGATACCACTTCCTCTGTTTAGGCTTCTCCAATCTCTCCATCTGAAAGTGTTCTCTCCCTCCTCTCATATCCCTTGAGTACCTTGTCCAAGCCATCCTTCATCCAGCTGCCAGTGATATTCCTAAAGCACAGGTTTGATTGTGTCACACCCTATTACCCTTAGGGTCAAATAGAAACTCTGACATTTAAAGCCTTTCACAACCTACCTTTATAGCCTCGTTGCCTATTATTCCCCTTAATGGGTTCCACGATCCTGCCAATTTGGCCTCCTTACTGTTCCTCAGATGAAACGCTCCACCACTTGTCTCTATATCTTTATATTGGCTGGAAATGCTTGGAAAGCACTCTCTCCTTTCCTTGTCTCTTAGAATCTCTAGTTCCCTTCAAAACTCAGCTCAAGTCAGGTGGACTTCAGAAAAACCTGGAAAGACTTACATGCACTGATGCTGAGTGAAGTGAGCACAACCAAGAGAAGACTGCAAACAGTAACACCAACATTGTGTGATGATCTAGACTTAGCTCTTCTCAGCAATGCAATGAACTAAGACAATTCCAAAAGACTCATGATGGAAAATACTATACACATCCAGAGAAAGAACTATGGAGTCTGAATGCAGATTGAAGCACACTTTTTCTCTTTCTTTTCTTTCTTGTGGTTTTTCCCTTTTGTTCTGATTCTTCTTTCACAACATGACTAATGTGGAAATGTATATACTATAATTGTACATGTATAGCCTATATCAGATTGCAGGTCATCCTGGAAGGGGGAAGGAAGGGGGGAATTTAGAACTCAAAATTTAATAAAAATGAATGTTGCAAATTAAAATAAATAAATAATTTTTTTTAAAAATGCTATTTCTTCTAAGGGATGACTCTTTGGGAGGGGGAGGGATATTAGGGAAAATTATGGTAATGTTAAAAAATGTTAATGTTAAAAATGTTAAAGGTAATGTTAAAAAAAAGACATCAACAAAAACTATTTTAAAAAACTCAGCTCAAGTGCCACTTTTCCTAATATTCCCAAATGTTAATACCACTCCCATCTTGTATTTATTTGCACATATTATATATGTCTTTACCTCTGACAACATAATCTCCTAGAGAGTAGGGAGTGTTTCATTTTTGTCTTCATATCCTCAGCACCTAGGACAGTGCTTGATGGTAAGCACTTAATGAATGCTTGCTGGATTGTTCAACTGATTAACCTTTCCTTTGCCTACCTAATTGCCTGGCTTTTGTTTTTCCTGAACTATTTTTTTTTTTTTGGATAAAGGGGATAGATGATGAGAAAAACCAACTCTTGCCAGAGATTTATTGTACAAAACAAAAGAAGTTAATCTGAGTAATTTTTCAGTTATATCTCACCCTTCATGACCCCATTCGGGGTTTTCTTGGCAAAGATACTTGAGTGGTTTGCCATATCCTTCTCCAGCTCATTTTACATATGAGGAAACTGAGGCAAGCAGGGTTAAGTGACTTGCCCGGGATCACACAGCTAGTAAGTGTCTGAGACTGATTTGAACCAGGAAGATGAGTCTTCCTGACTCTAGGCCTGGGCATTCTATCTTGAGTACCATCTAGCTGGCAAAATACAAAACAAAGCAAAGCAAAGCAAAACAAAACAACAAAAAAGAGAAAGGCATAGAGCAAAAAAGACCTTCCAATGTAGTATACAATAAATCTAATCTTTCCCATCTCGATGATGGTGCTACATAATCAGTCAGTCAACCAGCATTTTGAATTTACGCTGTGCTAAGCACTGGGGATACAAAGAAAGGCAAAAACAGTCCCTGCACTAAAGGAACTCACATTCTAACGGGGGAAAAGAACATGGAAATAACTAGGTACATACAAGATATAAGCAGAGTAGATGGAAGGTAATCAGAGGAAAGGCATACAGAGAACTACTATCCATAGTGATGACCCAGAGGTACTACAAGATCATTCATTAAGGGAAGATTTAATTAAGTTCACTATACTGGGCTCACTAAGATAGTAAAGTAGAGAAGTGGATTTTAGAAGAATTTTCAACAAGGATTCACATGAAAAATATTTTCAAGTCCACTCAGAGGAGTGGAACCAGAACTGGAAATTGAGCAGACCAACAGGAAGGAACATTGTGGAAAAATTTAGAGCTATGCATAGGAGAAAAGTTAACTCCCAAACAAGGAATAGAGAGGGATATAGAGGATTAAGTGGATAATTTTGATTTCATAATATTGAAAAGTTTTTGCACTGATGAATCTAATAAAAATTAAGATTAAAAAGGGAAAAAAATAAACTGGGGGGAAATCTTTGTTATATGTTTCTCTGATAAAAGTCTTATTTTCAAGATATATAAGAAACAGATTAGAATTTATAAGAAAAAGAACCATTCACCAATTGACAAATAGTCTAAGGATATAAATAGGTAGTTCTCAATGGAAGAAACCCAGGCTATTTATAGCCATATAAAAAAATTTCTAAATCACTATTAATTAAAGAAATGCAAATTAAAGCAATTCTGAGATTCCACCCAATACCCATTGGAGTGACCGAGATTATAAAAAAGGAAAATTATAAATGTTGGAAGGGCTGTGGGAAAAGAGGCACATTAATAAACTGTTCGTAGAGAGGTGCATGAGTATAACCATTCAAGAAAGAAATTTGGAATCATACACAGAAAGTCACTAAACAATTCATTCCCTTTGACTGAGGTACACAGTGGGTAGGGCTGTATTCCAAAAAGATCAGAGAGAAAGGAAAAGGTCCCATATATACAAAAATATTTAGAGCAACTTTTTTTATGGTGACAAAAAACTGGAAATTGAGAAGTTGTCTGACAGTTGAGGAAAGGCTGAATAAGTTGTGGTAGATGAATGTGATTGAATATTATTGTACTATAAGAAATGAGGAAAATAGATGATTTCAATAACACATGGAAAAACTTATACCAACTGATGCAGAGTGAAGCAAGCAAAATGAGAACAATTTCATATTAATGATATAAAAATAAACAATTTTGAAGATTTCTGTGAACTAATGAAGAATGAAATGAGCAGAAATGAGAAAAAATTTATGCAACATTGTAAAAACAAACGACTTTGAAAGCTATAAGAACTATGACCAATACAATGACCATTCATGATTTCAGACAACTGATGATAAAATATACTATCAATTATAGAGGGGTGATGGATTTAGGGCACAGAATGAGACATACATAGTTTTGTGTATAGCCAATTGGGGGATTTGTTTTTGATTGACTATGCATATTTGTTAAAAGAAATTTGCTTTTCTCCCCTTTTCTTTCAAAAGGGTGAGGAGGAGGAGAGACAAAAAATAAGTAGATGTCTGTTAATTTAAAAAAATAGAAAACTTTCAGATGAGGTCATTGTATTATTAATTTTATTTAACCGTTTCACTTTGTTACAAGAAGATATCTCATAAAGGGGGTAATGTATAAATGTTCATGATGTTAAAACAAAACTAAAAAAATAAATAAAATATTGGAGTTGTGTTGAAACTCTACGGCCCTTCTAAGCTCTAAATCTATCATCTCATGATTTGATTCTCAAGCATTCTGGTTAATCAAGGTTGTATTGCAGTTTGATGTTTTCTGGCAATATTTACTTTCCACTTGAATGAAGATTGCATTGTTTACTTCTGTCTTTTCTGTGATGTCTATAGGCATCCTGGAAAAACTCTCCATTTCACTAATAATTTCTCCACAAAAACTAGAATCAACCTACCTCCAAGTAGCCTATGATGCAATATTTCTGTGGTCCATCCAATCCACAGGTAGAAGAGGCCGTAAGCTGGGCGCTGCGACCCACTAGAAGATCACCAACGATTGGATGACAAGAGCCACTGCTGCAGTCATCTTGAGCTTTTGAGAGACTAAACAGCACTTGAACCCAAAAGAAACAAAGCTGTAAACAGAACATAGACTGAAGGACAGAATGATCTGAAGGGCTAACTAGTTAACATGGGATATTAATAGACTGGTTCTTTTTAATTCTATTTTTACTCAACAATTAAATCTTGATCAATTGGGAGTTAGTTCTTCAGTGTCACTGTAGGAAGATGAATGGGGACTAACACAAATCTCAGGGAAGGTAGGTGGCACAGTGGATAGAGTCCTGGGCCTGAAGTCTGGAAGACTCATCTTCCTGAGTTGAAATCTGGCCTCAGACACTTAATATCTGTGTGACCCTGGGCAAGTCACTTAACCCTGTTTGCCTCAGTTTCCTCATCTGTAAAATGAGCTGGAGAAGGAAATGGCAAACCACTCCAGTATCTTTGCCAAGAAAATACCAAATGGAATCATCAAGAGTCAGACAAGGCTGAAACGACTGAAAAATATAGAGATTAGAGATGTCAGGAGATATTTAATCCCTTCTGTTATACAAGCTGTTGGTGTGTTTATCATCAGTCAGTCAGCAAGTATTTATTTGTTGTTGTTAAGTCATGTCCGACTCTTCATGATTTCGTGGACCATACTGTTCATGAGGTTTTCGTGGCAAAGATATTGGAATAGTTTGCCATTTCCTTCTCCAGCAGATTAAGGCAAAGAAAAGTTAAGGGTATTATCAGAGTCACACAGTTAAGTGAGACCAAATTTGAACTCAGATATTTCTGTTTCTAGGCCCAGCACTCTATCCACTGAGCCATCTAGCTACTTCTAATCTAAGCATTTATTAGATACCTATCATGTTCCAGGCATCGTATTAGACTCTGTTGATACAAACAGAAATAACGAAATAATCTCTATGCTTAAGGAGCTTATATTCTAAAATTGAATATAGAATTTTCTCCTGAAATATACAAATAGGATCCATTTATACATTGGTTTATTATACAGATTCAGATATACCATGGGTCAACTCATGTTCTCTGAATCAGAAAAGTGCATCAAGTAAAAGCTACATAGTGCTTAGTCTATATTATGTGGGCATTCATATACAACCCAATACTATTGCCACAAAAGGATTCCTTTATAAGTGATGTAAGAGAATTGGGAACCAATATCAGCATCACATGGCCAAAACAAACTATTTTAATTCTGAGTTTTGGTCTATGTGACAATGTGCCTTTTATATTACTTGCAGAGTCCTGCAATTTTATGGGGAATGGTGTTCTGAGCAGGGGAGTAGAGTAGGGTAGTTTGTTGCACACAGGAATTGAGGAGATTGTGAAACAAGATGTCTTCTTTTTTGCACCTCCATTTCTTCAAGAGTAAAAAATGAATTGATACTGAGGTATTCTAATTCTGTGTATAAGTGAATTAGTGTTGAGCATTAATGATTGTAAAATGACATATACACATAAATGGATATTTTCTACACATTAACCTCTTCTTGATAACTCTATTCAATTTCTCCATCAATAGGACTATGACTTAGATAAGTCCCAAGAAGTTCTCTGAGGCACATAAAAATTCAGCGATTTGGCCAGTGTCACATAGCTAATAAGTGTCAGAGGTAGGATTAGCATCTAGATCTTCTCGAATCCAAGTCCATCATTCTTTACATTATGGCTACCATAGTACCTGGCATATAGTAGGTACTTAAATACTTGTTGATTAAACTGAATTGCTTCTAATCCCCATCATACCTTTCCAAAATGGTAGCTTAGTGGGCTGAACTTTTCATTTTTAATCTTCTCCCTAATTTTTTTTTATTACAGATCTACACTTGATTTTAAAAAAAATCTTTTTTGAGATTTAAGGATATGAAGAAAGTTCACATTATCTTTATTCAGAATTAATGCAACCTTCTTTTCCTACTGAATTTTTTTGAGTTGTTTGTGCTGTCATAAATGACAACTACTCTGTGTTGCGCCATTATCTGTAAGTCAATTCTAAACTGAGTCTCCTTTCATTGTCCTGAGTGAGCACTTAGGATACATTAAGCTAGAAGAGGTTGGGGTGGGAGATCCATTTGGACAGGGCTATTCAAAAAGGTTCAGGCAGAGCAAATGGGTTAGTGCTGTATTGAGATTATATAAGACTTCCCTTCCAGGGTTTTGCCCTTTTAGGCAAGTTCTATCCTGAATTCTTCTGCTAGAATGGGAGCCTTTGAGGCTTTGCCTGTTTTTATAACTCGGCTTGGCCAAACTTGCTCTGATAAAAATGTTTGTGCCTCAGAAATGAAACTAGACCAGAGTCATGATGAAAACTTGAAACTTTATTTGCATGAGTTTATGAGTATTTATGTGAAATACTGATATACAATGTTGTTTGGAATGGAGATTGGGGGAGAAGTGAACATAGGTAGTGAAAGCTTCAAGCCTGAACATAGGCTCAGTCATGACTTTTCTGTGAAGATTTTTTTTTAAAGCATTTAGCTTTTTTCCCAAGTCAGCAGTGACTTGGGTTTTACCTAGAGCATACAGATATGCCTGTGCTACAGGGAAATTTCATCTGAACTGTGTTGTTGGTGTTGTTTTAAAATATCTAGTGTTTCAACAAATACACTTTGAAGAGGTAGTTATTTAAAAGCACATACTGATGAACCCTTTTGTAAAATAAAAAAAATTAAAATATATAAATTTATATATTCTGTAAGGATGTCTATTTTAATGTTTAATTTTCACGAAACAAGGTACACCACATACAAAAGCAAGGCTATCTCTCTGCAGCTCACCTCAGAAACACACAATACATTAGCTTTCCGAATAGAACAAAATGTATTGCTAGATAATAAATGAAGCTTTTGCCTTTCATCTAGTTTCTCAAAAGCCAAGGGGGCCTAGTACATTTAAATTTTTTATTGCTTCTTCTGCACTTTATTTTAATTTTTCTTGGCATTCCAAGGCTACAACTATGACCTTGTCAAAATGTAGGACAAGTGAAGTATTTCAATATTTAGTTTATTTCTGACAACAAAATTTTCCAGCTTTTTGGAAAAGAATCCAGAAACTTCCCCCCAGAGAAAGGCAAACTCCCCATCACCATTTTTATTTATGCATTTAGATGGATATGTGGTTGACTGGGAGCAGAATAATTAGGGTGGAGGTGACTTGGACTTTGTCCCAGAGCACTGAAATTTATAGGGTTCAAATTTTAACACACGGGCTACACTTTTAGTATCAGTTTTTCCAGTAATTATATTACTGGGAATATTACCCAAGGAGGTCAAAGACAGACAACAATCCATATCCCAAATATTCATAGTAGCATTTTTTGTGGTGATAAAGAACTAGAAACAAAACAGGTATCAATCAATTGGTGGAAATGAGTATACGAACTATGATATGGGAATATAATTGTATATAATTTTGTAGTAAAAAATGATGAATATGAGTTAGCAAAATGTGGGAAGATTTTGTGTGAACCACTGCAAATGAAATGACTAGAAAAAAAATATACTAAATGACTATAGTAATAATATAAATGAAGAGATTACTAAATGGGAATTAAACTCTGAGTAATTTAAAAATTGGTCCTATAAACAGATAATGAAAACTATTTCCTTCCTCTGAGAAGAGTGTCAGGGGATTACTAGGTTACAGCTTTGTATACACAATTCAATATTTTTGCCAAATTTTCTTGGTTGTAAGAGAGTTCAAATCTGAACTCTTTTCTGGGCAGAAAGAGAAGGGGAGATATTTCCAGAAATGACTGTAATATAAAATAAAAAAAACTAATAAAATTGATTTTAAGACATTCTTTAATACATGTACTCCTTTAGCAATGTGAAAACAACCGAGTATAGCATGTAATTAATAATACCCATCTGTTAATCACGACTGTAAATAATTTCCTCCTCCTGCTATACTGAATTTTTCTCATGTATTTGTATTATTTTAAAATCATGAATTTACTCAGTTGATTTGGCAAACTGAGGGGTTTTGAGGATGAGGGAGACAAGAATATGTTTGCAGGCAGTAGGGAAATAGCCAATAGATGGTGAGAGATTGAAGAAAAGTGAGAGAGGGGATGATAGATGAGACAATCTGTTGGAGAAGATGAGATGGGATGGAATCACTTATGCAGAGAGAGATAATCCTTGGCCAGAATTGTTACCTCTTCATGTGAGACAGGGATCAGAGAGGAGCTAGTGGGGGAAGACAATTGAGTAATATGAGCTAAGAAGGAAGGGATACCAATGATCTCTTAATTGCCAAAGCTGGTGTGTGTGTGTGTGTGTGTGTGTGTGTGTGTGTGTGTGTTTCTGATGGTAACTCCTTGGTACTTCAGCTGTTTGTGGTTGTTTACAGCATTTTTTTCCATCTTGGAAGCTCATAACCTGTGAACTATCACAAAGTTTCTGAAATTACCCTGGGGATGAGTTATAAGTACAAGGCTCTATTATAGTTATAGGGTGATGATAAGCCAGACCTTGATGTCTTGTGGACATTCAGAAGGTGTCTGGAAGCTTTAGGAAGGAATCAAAACACAGTTTTGCCAACATGGTGCCCAACTTCTACTACTACTACTACTACTACTATACTACTACTACTACTACTACTACTACTACTGCTACTACTACCACCACCAGTCAGCCAGCATTTAAATACCACTTTCAAGTTTATAAATTGCTTGCTTTATACATGTTATCTAATTTGATCCTTATAACAACCCTGTGAGGTAGATTATTACATTATTGTTATACCTATTTTATAGCTAAGGAGAGTGAGGTGGACAGAGGTTTAGTAACTTGGCTAGAGTCACAGAGCTAATAAGCATCTAAGGCAGGTTTAAAATTCAGGTCCTGATTCCATATCCAGCATTTTATACACTACGCCACCTAATTGCTGAATTTCTAGGAATACTGGGCTGATACTTTTCATTAAGCACCTGGCACTTGTAACTGGGGAATAATGGTTGGATAAAAGATGGAAAAGGCTGAAATTAAGGACATTTTAATTCTCAAAACTTACTTGGAGGTAGTAAGGGTTTGAGTTTGATTGTGGGTATGTTTGCATGTTTGTATGTACAGTGAAAAATGGAACATAGCATCTCAGTTATTATTGGTATTATTGTAATTATGCAGTAGTAGAGGGATGGTACTGATTGGTATTATAGAAAATTTGGGATCATTGGGAGTAATTTTGGAAAATATCCTTCACAATGACTGATATAAATGTTACTGAACTTTTAAAAAAAAATAACAGAAGCACAGTGAACTCAACACCTCAACACAAAGCATTCATTTACCCAGAGAAGACAATTTGCTTCCCCACAATCAAAACTTTCCTAAACCCCCAACATTGGGACAACCACTTTATCTAGAACTAGCTTATATTTTTAAGCACATTATGTTTACAAATCAGTGATTCAAAAGGGCTGACCGTGGACTACCAGGAATTGCTGTTTTGATAGTGATCATAGTAGCACAGAGTTTCCAACTAGTTGAAATAATTATGCAGCTGAGCAGTCATGTAAAAATTATGTAGGTTAGAGAAAAATGCAGGGAATTTTGGAAATTTCTCCTAACTGATTTGAAGCACTGTGGGGAAAACCAGAGAAATGAGCTTTGAAAATAATCTTCATACTTACCAAGGGGCATAAAAAAGGTCAGCTGAAATTTCATTCTTTTGTCCCCAAAAGATTATTACAAATGCTGCTAGGTGACAGAAAACATTAAGGTTAGAATCAGTCACTGCCAGAGTCAGTCATTTTCATCCTTGCATAATGTTTACTAAGCATCCAAGGTGTCAATGGTGTGATTGCTCTCCCAATTAAATTCAGTAGATTTGCTCCCAGTATAGGAGGCAGCATGGTGTAGTAAATAGAATACTGGACCTGAAGTCAGGAACACCTGGGTTCAAATCCCAAGTGTAAGGAACAGAGAGGATGAAATCCAGCTCCCCAAGTGAGAAAGATAGAGAGCAGAATGAGTGAAGGTGGTGGGCATAGAAACTTTCCCCCCTACCTTGGGATAGGCTTGAAGCAGGCCCAGGCCCCTACTCACCCTGAAGAGATTTTCTAGGCTATCCTCTTCAGGTTAAGAGGGAGAAGAGACAGGAGAAGGAGAGAGGGAGAAGGGAGAGGGGAGGAGGGAAGGAGAGAAGAGGGGAGGAGAGGAAAGAGAAGAAAGGGAAATAGGAGAAGAAAGTGTTGCTTACCACTGTATTGCTTGTTTGAGTCACGAGAGCAAAAGGATGGCTTTTTCTTGAGTAACATCCTCCCCACCCTCAACTTCCAACAACTGCTGATTCTTAGGTTCCTTTTCCCCTTCTTTACCTCTCTCCCTAACCCTAATCAGATACCTTATACTTATATGTGTATAGGTGTCTGTCTCTTAATAGAATGTAAGCTTCATGAGGGCAGATACTATTTGGTTTTTGCCTTTGTTTTCCCAGCAGGTAGCATAATGACTGGAACATAATAGGTACTTACCAAATGCTTATTGGTTGACTGACAGATTGATTATACTGAGTAAGCTTTGGCTATATCACAGAAGATCGTAACAACCTGGTGAAAACACAAAACAAAACATGGGAATGGGAATCAAGTTCCAGTCCTTGCACGGACACTAACTCCGGCCTTCTCCTCCTTCCTCTGCAAAAACAAGGGGTTCTAAGGCCTCTTATAGCTCCAGCAGTTAGTTGGTGGGTTTATTCTACTGGGGCTAGACTCTGCCATAGCTCGGTCTCGATTACAACAAGCGATGAATGAGTTTTTACTGCTGATCATGGACAAATCACTCCCTCCTCTGGCTTCACTTTCCCCCTCTATCAAATCAGAGAGTTAGAGCAGATAATCCTTGAGGTCCCTTCCCACTTGTGGAAAATGTGGCTGGGAATGTTGCTTCTGCATATCACTCATCAGGGCGATGAGTAGCTGCTGGGGTATTGACAGCTATAGGCTGTTGACAAGGAAATGTGGGGAATGGGAGATATAATGAGTGGGGAGGGGGGGCAGAGACTCACGTGGGGAAATTGGGTGCACCAGATAGGCTGTAAACTCTGCATTACTCAGCCAGTGGGCAAACAGGGGAAGGAACTGCGATTCGGGCCTAGGAATAAAAAGCTTTCCTCTCCCTTCTGTAAGGTGTGCCCATACACGGCATGCCCGGCCTTGCTTGTCTGTTCATAAAGTTTTTCTAGTTCACCAGTGGCTTCTTGGAACTTTTGTTGCTTACAAACTCAAACATTGGGATGATACTTTGAAGATTTGGAGAGAGATGACTTCAAGCCTTTTTTTCTTTTAGCTCCCTTTAAAAATGCATGTTTGCTATAGGAATTAAGATTCCAACCCCTTCTGTCCAGTAATCAGGCTTCCTAGTTGCTCAGTATGAAGAAACAACTGGCCTTAGTGCCTAGTTATTCAGGACAATTAGTTAAAATAGAAAGCTTCCTCTCCCCTTTGGGGTGGGTTTTCTGGCAGTGTTCTTGAGTCTTTGGCCTTTTGTCCTGAAAAGTTGTCTCTTCCCCAAGAGACAGTCCCTCCCTGCCTCCCCCCAGATCTAAGGGTGCTTTTTGTTTTATTTGCCATTTGCCCTGAGTACTGATTGTGGTGTTTGTCCTAGGCACAAAAATTCCAAGTTATAATTTTGCTAAAAGAGGATTAAACATACATGGGGATTAACTTGAGCCCCAGTGGGAAGTACATAGGAGACTTTTTGGTTAAGGTAGGAGTTTCTTTGGAGTTTTCCTCATATCTGCTATCTTGATTATTTCCCTGGTTTCCAACCTCTCACCTTGCCTTCACCTTTGGCATAGCTGTTTTCCCAGACTCCTGACTGCAGGCCTAATTATTAAACACAACTTGCCTGCACCCAGTTTCCTGACCTGTTGCTGTGATCTACCATTTCCCCTTGGATCATAAATGACATTTCCTTTTGTAACTTTCCGGAACTGGTCAATAAACATCGGAGATAAAAGAAGGAATATTAATTGAGTTGCCTCTTTACAACAGGCAAGGGAAGCAGTTTGGTTCAGTGGAAAGATCAATGGCCTTGGAATCATAAAAACTGGGCATTGTCATAGTATCTCGAAGGCTGGCTGTGGAATCAGGAAGACCCTGGTGCAAATCCCTTTCACTAGCTGGGCAAGTTATTTAACCTTTCTAGGTCCCACTTTCCTCATGTGCAGAATGAAAATAATGATTGCTGCAGACCTGCTCCACAGGATTATTGTGAGGTAAAAAAGAAAGTGTCTGTACAGCACTGCAAAAATCTGCAAAACGTTATATAAATGTTAGTTATTATTCAAGTCACTTATTTAGCTATATGACCCTCAACAAATCACTTTTCTGGGCCTCAGTTTTCTCAGCTGTAAAATGAAGGGGTTGAGCTAGATAATTTCTAAGATCATTCCCAACACTAAAAATCCATAACTCTTTATGTGAAATTTCTTAAATTCATGGAGTTGGGAGAGACTTAAATGTACTTAATTCATTTCAACACATCTGAAGATCAATTCTCTTATGAAATATATCCAGTGAAGATGAATTTATAACTTCTCTTAAGCCACCATCTAAGAAAAGCAAGTCATGGGACAGAAATATTTTACCCATCTCATTCTCCATTAGCTATTAGAACAGGGCATATGCCAAGAAACTTGCATGTCCAGCACTCAACTGTATGGTCCATCTGTGCAGTCAAACTGTGTTAATGGTCCATAACAAATCTTTCAATCTCATTCAAGTTAACTGAGTTTGGAGAGACAGAGAGATTGTGATTCAACTCTTCAATACATCAAGGAAGCGTAATTTATTGATATGGTCTTTCCTCCACCAATGTAGGTCATACTTCCCCTTCAACTTGGTAAATGGTCTTTAAGAATTGCTTTAAGGGACAAACATTTTATCAGTTTACAATCCATCAGGTGATGAACTTCTTTAAACTTGGCTAATACTTGACAAGGACTGATCCTTAGCAACAGGCCTACAGCCCATCCCTGGGATTGTACTCCAAGCCTTTCCATCTTGGGTGTCCCTGAATAGTCTTTGGGAACCCAACCTAGGTGACTTCTACTTTATAGTAAAGCACCGGTGTAGTGCTTTTGTACAATACTGGTGTCCTATTGTCTGGCAGATGTTAGTAAAGTGAAATGAATTTGAATGAATCTGGATAATTTAGGATACAAAAAATAAAATTCTTCCCTGATATAAACCAGTAAAATCAAAGCTGAGATAGGCAGGTTGGGGAAGAAGCAATAAGCAGAGAACTTACATAGATTATTATTCTTTCCTCAGTTCTTCCATTCTGTGTTTACAAGTCTGATCTTACTGGGGGGAATTACATCTTTTTGCTACTCAGGACCTACCCCTGATTTCCTCCAGTAATACATGATCTTTTCTCCCTTACAACTCTGAGAGCACTTTGATATCTTGCCTACAACTTTATTACTTTCCTTCTATTTTGTTTTGTAGTTATTTTTATATTTATCATTTCACCTCTGGCCAAAGTTTTGCCAATTTTTATATCTCCTCTAAAACCCAACACAGTGCTCTGTGTAGTAGGTATTTAATGACTTTGTTGAATTGAATTAAATCAGAAGACATCTGGCCTAAGATCTACCCCCTCCAATGGAAGTCAGCTTTCACTCTTCTCTTCTCAGCAAAGATTAAAGCTGGCACACTTTGTACACTTAAAAAAACCCACAACTATCAGGCACTTCTCAGCCTTCTCATCTTTAATTTAATCAGTAGTCAATCAACAAGCATTTATTAAGTGCCCGCTATGTGCTAGGCACATCAGCAACCATTTTAAATTCACATTTGCTAGTACTGTAGAAAGCACATCTGTCTTGGAGTAAGAGCTCTTGAGTTTGAATCCTAGATTTATCACTTCATGCCACTCTCACACTGGGCAAATCATGAAACTTCTTTAACCCTCAATTTTCCCCATCTGTAAAATGGAGATAATAGTACTTGCTCTACTTATTTCACACGATTGATGGGGAAAAAGCACTTGTTATTATTTTCTTCCTTCCTTCCTTCTCTCAAATCTCCCCGTTTTTCTAAAGATAAGGCGCTTCAGACCAGACCTGTTGCTGTAATTAGAATTTGGAAATTCCCAGGAAGCCTGAGATCTAAGATCCACCCAGGTCTTATGTAACCAGCAAACTGCCCTTACCAACATTCACTTAAGAACCAATTTTAGAAGCTATGTGTAAATCCTGTATGTACCTTTCCTTTGTCTATCCGTAAAGCTAAAGAATGAGTTTTGATCCATCTATGGGCAGACCAGACAGAGCTCATGTTTGGCATTCCCCAGAGTGGGCTATTTTCTTGTCAAATTCACTTCTAGGTTTGGGTTTTGTTTACATACTTACTTGGGGGATGTATCTAGTACTCAAGCTGGTGTTTCACTTAAATGGATGTGAATATTTGTGTATGTGTGGGATAAACCTAATAGATGGCTTTTCGTCAGTGCTAGCCCCAGGGATGCCACTGCTTAATACACAGTTAAATAAAGCTTGTCATAAAAAAGTGCTACGTAGGAGTTTAAATGCAGATTGAAGCATACTATTTGCTCTTTTTTCTTTCATTTTGTTTCTTCTTTCTTGTGGTTCCTTCTATTGTTTCTAATTCTTTACAACATTACTAATGTGAAAATATGTTTAATAGGAATGTATATGTAGAGCCTATATCAGATTGCACGCTGTCCTGGGAAAGGAGGCAGGGAGGGGGGGAGAGAAAATTTAAAACTCAAAAGCTTATGGACGTGAATGTTGAAAACTAAAAATATATTAATTAATAAAAAGTGCTATATAGCTGTTGCCCTGACTAGCAAAAAGATATAGAACTCATAACAATCAGTCTTTTCTTTGGTAATGACTTCTCAAATTCTCACATACACTGGCCAACATCTCTCACAATGTCACCTTCCCTATTGCTGTCAAAGCCACTTCCATGAGTTTAAGAGAAATGAAGTTACTATGGACACATAATAGCAAACGTCCTAGTTCATAGCCCCAAGGTGCCTGAGCAGTGCTTAATAAGTTATGTTTCTATACCAGAGGAAAAAAAAATCATACATTAAGTGACAACGCCTGAATTTGCCTGCCTTGCTTCCCCAAACGATAAATAAGGATGAAGGAGCAACGGGATAATTGTTAAGAAGTTAACCCTTACCAATTCATCCTATTATCAGCCAAGAAAGGATAATACTAGGAGGCTTTCTCTAAATTGATCTATTATCTATCAGAGGAATTAGGAGACATTTCAATGCTATACTATCACAACAGCATTTAGAGAATAAGAAAACAGAAGGCAAAGCAATGGTTGTTAAATTGTGTGAATTTTTCAAATGCTTAAGAATATTTACATGTGCTTACCTTAAGATGTGAATGGTATTTCAAACATATGGGATTAAGATAAACACAATATAGAAAGTAAATCTACAGTAACTGTTGCCACAAGTTGCAAAGGGGCAAAAATAATGAAAGTTTGAGGACACTTATGTAATATACAACATGTGAAATTACTTTTTTGGGCATGGCATAATTTGGAAATCTTGCTAAGGTTTCAATAAAGTATAAAAACATTCCCAGCATCTTGCTAATTCAAGATTGAAATCCTTCTGTAGCCAGCAAAAGCTTTACTGTTGACTACTGAGCTAAGCCACAACAACCACATTTATAGTTTTGTCTGCATTTTGCTAATCTGGGGCTTAGACCTTCCATAAATTGAAAGAAGATTAATGGTAACCCTCTGTGCTGGGCTACTCTAGGGGCCCACCACAATCAGTGTTTGCTAATGTCTCAGCTAAATCCACGATGTCACAATTTGCTTCGAAAAGATAAGGAAAGCCTTACCTGAATGGAGAGAATCAGGCATCTACAGAAGAGCTCCGGGAAACAAACTCAGCATGTAAAGACATACCTGTGAGCAAGAGTTTTAGTTTAACCAGAAAAGGTTTACCTCCAGGCATCTGGGTGTACAGGAAAAAAAAAAGGTATCCTAAAACCTGCCAGAAAGGTGATTTATGAAGTCATTCACTTTGGATTTAAGGCTTCGGAGAATATATTTTTCGAACAGAGATAGCAAGAGATAGCTTTGGTAGAAAAAGTCATTCACTGACTTCCTGGATTTTGCAAAGCACAGACAAAAAGGAGATACTGCTTTGAACTGTAACAATAAACAATTACATTGCTCCAGCATTTAGAAAAGGTCCAGGACAGTTGCAACTGCATGAATAGTGTAGAATGATGGAGGAAGATTCGGGTTAACAGGGAAAGGTTGACATTATGCTCCGAGTCTCTGGTGACACACATGCCCTCTTAAAGTATAAATTGCTTTGTTGGGGGTGGGGAACTCTCTGCCTCATCTTACCAGCTCCACAAATATAAGTGTATTTAAATGACTATGACTCCTGTCTCCTGAGGAGATGAAAACAAACATGGCTTATGGGAGCTGCAGACTGCAGCTTTAACTGCTGTGCATGTCACCAAGCACCTTCATTTAGTATGTGTAGAAATAATAAGGCATAGCAAATGCATTGTGGAGCACAGAATGAGGAAAACCTGGGTTCAGAGGATGATAGATTTAAAGCTGGAAGAGACCTGAAAGACCATCTTCTCTAGTCCCCTCACTTTATAGATGAGGAAACTGATGTCAGAGAAGGTGAATGATGAGCCTGAGATAATGATGATGACAATGATGACGATGACCAGAATTTATATGGTGCTTTCAGGTTTGCAAATATTACTTAATTTTATCCTTACAATAACCCTGAGAGGTAGGTGCTATTTTCATCCTCTTTTTACAGATGAGGAAACTGAGTTAAGGAGAGGTTAAATGATTTGCTCTGGGTCACACAGCTA